CCCCAAAACCCCAAAACCCCAAAACCCCAAAACCCCATGTCTTATTTATCTAATTGATTCCTCTTTTTGATTAGCTCAGAATTTCTCCCAAAAATCCGATACTGATTATTCATCCACGAATTTGAGACAACTGGGGATTTGGAACCCGCTGAAGACGAGCTTTCCAATGTCAAAGTTGCAGTGGTAGTTGTTAGATCTGAATGTGTCCAGTCCTACAGGTTACAGCAAGAGCATACCCAAGATTGTGATGTATCTTCCATATGCATTCTCAGGCATCTTGATCTGATATGTGCCACTAGATGTCTGTAGAGTTAGAAATAATAATTACATCTAAGTCGTATGCGATGGCAGCCAGTCTGTAGTTGTAGTCCTCAACCACCTGAGTCATGTCCAAAGACTCCATCACTGGCAAGTACTCTGATGATTTTGGCAGCTTGGAGATGATTCTGTCAACATCCATCTTGAATTCCTCTGAAGAGGTTAAGTGTTTGCTTACCTTTGGTATTGAAATTGGACTTCTTTGAATAGAATTTTTGAGAAAATTCCAAAGTTTCGCTTGTTGTGTGAGATATTTTTGGGATGATTCCATAACTTGCAGCATTGCTATATGCAGCCAAGATTTCTTGTGCAGGTGTGGCTTTAGACTTATCTAATTGTTTGCCCTTAGCATTTTCTTTTGAGCTGTTCTTAGTTTCTTCATTATCTTCTAAAATCATAAGTGAGCTGAAAATGTGATAAATGTTCTACTTTTAGAAATCCTAGTGAACAATTTATGCTGAGAGCAATCTAAAGCTTTCATACCTTCGTCTGATTCATTTCTGTACATCCATCTGGTATTCTGTCTGACATAGTTCGTGGCTTCTTTGCCGTTCCATTCCAGGGAGTCATACAGCACCTTAACAATGGTTGTCAAAGGATGGTCTTCTGGAACAACTGGGTAGTCATGCACGAATACAGCAAATGCTTTAATATTGCAGGTGCAACAGTCCGCTGGACGGATCTAGATTTTAGAGCAAAAGTTACCTCGACTTGAGTCAGCATGAATAATCTGTCTCTTGAAATCTCTCTCTGCATGGTTGTATCAAATTCAACAATTTTTGTATGTCTCTAAATGCATGATAATGCTCCACTTACCTCACCGTGATATTTATCATCTTTGTTTGCAAAGCCTTTGTCATGGGCAATGAGGTTAGGATTTTTGTAAGCAGTGTCTTCAAGTACTTTATAAGCACTTTTCAGAGAGTATTCTTTGGCCATCTTCTTACTATAATTCATAAATTAGGATTTTAAATTCAGATTAACAAAAGATATGCTAAAATTGAGCTTTTGAAAAAGAAAAAGATGTATTAATTTAAAAGGTAGAAAAGAAGCACTTGTATAACCTTTGAACTTTTTACAAACTTATAAGCAAATTTCTTGTCTACTTACCCAGCATTTTCAGGCACCTCTTCGTCACTATCTGATGAATAGCTGTAATAGCTGTAATGACCGAACTCATATTCTGCATGTCTTGAGTTTTTCTCTAGCTCTTCAAGAGTTTTATTTAGATACACTCTTCCAAGCTCCTTTGCTTTGACAACTCCTTCAATTTTATTTCTTTCTTGTTGAGGATCTTCAGAATATGGGAGAGCAGTGATGCACATCAATCCGTTCGGAAAATAAATGTCTGGGCAAGCATTGTATTCATCTCCATGATCTTGAAAGATTTCTTGAATGTTATCGCATCCTCTCTGGTGTCCACCAGTGGTTCTATGGATCATTAATACATGCAACAATGGAGAAAAGACGGATGAGCAAATAGAAACCAATTTCATAATAACTAGGATAAGATACCAAAATATCTAGACCAATCCTTAATGCAAATTGGGTTATTATTAGAAAGAAGAACATCTAAGATGTACTGACAAACTTACCTTTCACATATCACCATGAGTTTATTGCTTTCTCTAAATAAACTCTTCAAGAGTCTGATGATGTTGGAGTTAGTGTCATCGTACAGTTTGATATACTTCCTTTCAGGCCTACAAATCAGTACAGCTAGATACTCTTTCATTTCTTCTTTACTGTTTTCTTGCTCTTTGGATCTTCTGTTGTTCAATATTGAGTCATGGTATTCTTGTTCTCTCTGATAGTCTTTGATCATTCCTAGATAGTTGTCGAGCATTCTTCTGAGCAACTCATTGTCTTCCCTATAAACATTGATGAGTTGTTCTTAAAAGTGGAGGCAAAATAGTCATGGTTAGAGTCAACTCAGACATATGGTTAGAACCATTGCACATATCTGACATTTTCCTGAGCAACTCTTTGTTGCTCAAAATTAGAGTAGCAATTCTAAAGAAGTGCTTACATGATGTTGTGGTAGAACTTCTTGCTGACAAATTCGAGTCTATTGTCAGCCAAGTCCTGGTACTCAAGGAACAAAAGGATTTCTCTAAGAGTGATGTTCTGAAGTTTCATTTCTAATTATATTGTAAATATTAATGATCTTTTAATATCTATTTGGCATCCTCATTTCGGGGTTTTGGGGTTTTGGGGTTTTGGGG